GGGGGGAAGGGGGAGGTTGGGGGGTGGAGAAAATCTGGCCAAATTCAATTTTTACAGAAACAAAAGTAATAATATTGACATTTCTTTCTTGTTTATTCATTTCTTTCCAGATGTCTGTAAGAGTATTTTGTTTTTCCTCTCCTCTCAATGACTTTTCAGTTTGTGTCATGACCTAATTTGCTCCAAGCGAAGTGAGCAACTTGGATGCGCCACAAACCCGACAAGCGCATTTATTAGGGAGCGATTGGAAGCGGCCATTTACTCTTTGCGGCCAAATCATAATAGGCCCTAGTTTTATGTAACAAAAAGTTCCTAAAAAACACAACAATTTATAACATCTATTTGTCGTTGAAGGCATAAAAGACTGATGGCACTTCTAGTTCTTACTTTTCTCCATTTACAGAATCTCATTCAGATGGCTGCCAATAATATTTCTGCTGGCATCTGTTCGAAAAGTTTCTTCGCTTGATGACGACGAGATTGAAGACATCACATCAGAACACACTTTTCATAGGTATACGAAATCTTATCTGAAATTTCACAAGAATCACTACATAACAGTTGTGGCGGACCATTGAATACAGTTAACAAATTCTTCTCATCCCTTGAATACATTTAGCACATCCTTCCCAACCTTCCCCTGTCTCCTCTCTTTGGTATATTATTTCTATTCTGATATAATTTTGCTGATTGGAGTGTATACCGCAGTGGGACTATCCCAAATAGCAACGCTACATGGTCTGGGGATCGAATCTCGGACTGACACACGTCCCGGCTGACCAAGCCTTCCATTCCTCGGAAACGGTTAATTACTGTCACACTTGTGTGGGAGGGTAAAAGCACTGACATGAGCATATGCTGGTCCTGCATGCTATTGTATATCCCAGAAAAATTTTCAATCGCAACCACTACTCTGAATCGAAGTTGAAGGGTTATGCGCACTTCAAAATGGGTTGTCCACTACGTTCAGGAACTTTGTCCTGTATCCTTAATGTTGTATTTAAAAGCAAGGAACGAAATATGGAAATTATTTTACCATCACCCATGTGTTCTCTGCTCCCTCCGGGCCGAGGCTCTGAACAAGATTGAAGGAGGCTAGGTTGGGGTCGCGGGGAGGGCATGGGGCGTACAGTTCCTACTTTCTGCTGATGACAAAAAACTACACTACCCCACACTTCACTAAAGTAATAACTCTCTTAGTTGGAGAGTTAATAGTCACATGGGAAATGTCAGAGTGCGGTTCCCTCCCAGTGGTGCACTCAACCTCGTAGACCGTGGTGAAAAAAGTTCATCCGAAGGGAACAAGAAAACTTTTGTTATCAAGGACTAAACCAAAAAAGGACTAAACCAAAACCTATCCATGTACAGTTCCTACGCTTCAAAAAAAGCGATGCGAGGGTTAGTCGACTGTTTGACTTTACCTGTTTTAGGGATAATATTGTGTCGCAAGTTGGCGTTTCCCGTTCGTACGGTACGATCAATGAACGGCCGAGAAAAGCGAAGGTGAACAATTCTGTGAATACACCCACTCGAGGCGGTGTCATTTTTGCCAAATGTTTAAGCCAATATGTCTTTGAAAGTACAACACTCATGTAATTCAGAACCAGGATATTTTGCAACAGTATTTCAACAGCAAAAAAGGAAAACGCACTGAAAACACAAGTCAGTTCGCCCACACTCAGTACGCGGTATCGGTAGGTATTGCAACTTGAAATGTCAAATGTTTGGAATGGTACCATACTGAAACTAAGCTTAACTCGGATCCCAGAGAGTGAAAAGAAGTAATTTTTTTAGACTGAAGCACCCAGTACTTCTATCGGTAGCAGTTATGGCAAGCTTGGAGGAATATTACCCAAGGTATTGACCTCATAGTTATCTCATTTTCGTGATTGCTGAATCGGTGAGATATGAAGATCCAACTTCGACGACACAGTTATGTTCATCTCTATGGAGGTCACCTACCCATTCGGTAAAAGACCTTCAGAATGGAAATCTCGGCCCAGATCCCACGCACTCGCTTTACCCTAAATTGATGGGAATCTTGTGTGACCGTGCGTGGAATCCCAAGTGCACGCGCCCATGTTCTTCGATTCTGAACAACTTCCAGTCACAAGTGGAGATAGCACCCAGGACAATAGAGGACATGGAAAACCTCAAATGATGGACAGCAACTTCTAGAAGGAATCATTGAGTCAGATTTGAGGTAGGGTCACGGAGCATCAAATATAGCGACCGTTACCGGTCTTCAGAGAACAACTACCTGGGAAAGCAGTTGTTGGGCACGGTGGGAATCGTATGTAGCCGAACTCTCTAGATAACCGCTGTTTCGCTCTTTTTTATAAAATTTGTACAGGGCCCTTCCCTTCTTCAGACAACTGCGGTTTTTTGATATGGGATCGTGTATAATATGTAATTTACTTTCGTTATGGTTCACCTGAAAACTGACGGTACAAGCCGCTTCCACTAGGAAATAATCAAGAGGGCACAAATTTTGACCGCGCTTAGATTCTAAAAAAGGAGAAAAGCCCCCAAATTCTGACAAATTGAGACCGGTTCAAGCAATCACAGCAGGATTTCTTTGTGTAAAAAAAAGGTTGCTTCGCGTCGATCGTCTGGAGTATTGGCAAGCATTGTGCGCAACTATTGCAAAAACCTTCCACTCAAGGGATTGGCTAAATGTTTTGAGAATCAGTTCCAGATAAAAAGCTGGATCGGGAAGTTTTACCGCTTTGCACTATGATCTCTAATCTTCTCTCGAGCCACGGCACCACCACTTCTTCGGATCGGTAAAAATTTTCCAAATTCAACGTCCAAGAAAGCTAGCCTTCTTACCTTATTCGTTTTGAAAGCTTCTATTGGTTTGCTCGTGGTAGGGAGGCCAGGCTCAC